AGTGTGGTGTTGTGGGAGGGTAAGGTTGAGGGTGAGAGGCAAGGTGAGGTGAGGTGTGAAGCAAGGTAGGGAAGTAGGAGGGAAGGGTCGAGGAACAGAGGAAGATCGCGACACACTGTTGTGTTACACGGACGCAGAATTATTTTGGATTCCCCTGGTCGGATCCTGTTTCGGTGGAGCTGGGCTGGCCGGCTGCTGGCATTGAACAGCTTGTGCCTGTGCTCACTCTCGTTTTTTCCCTCTCTTTCTTTTCCTTGGCCCTCGCCTCTTTTTTTTGCAGTACCTCGGGGGCCAGGGGTGTGAAGGTCCAGGTGGAGGTGATGGTGGACTGGCGACAGGGTCCCGGTTCTTGTTGGTGTGGGTGGGTTGAGGAGATGGTGGTGTCTTGTCTTGTCTCCTTCGGGGATGGGGGGAAGACTCAAGAGAGAGGTCGCGATCAAGGTCAAGGTGACAAGGTGGTTCACCCTTGATCACTGCAGTCTGCAAGTGGTAAGAGGTCAAGCTGGAGACGCGGCTAGGTCCAAAAGTCGAGTTCGACCACTCGACCTGCTGTTGCTTGGAGACTTATCCGTACCTCAGGTTGGGGGACTTGGGACCGTGAGCTGGTGACCTTGGGGCCGCCGCTGGCAAATGGGCGCAAATCAGCCGGAACGCGACAGGGATGCCGGGGGAGGTTCGTTCGCGCTAGTGAGACAGGTGGCCCCCCGTTGATGGGAAACGATGATGTCGATGCGCCGCGCCCGGGGAACGAAGTATGTATGGATGTTGTTTTCCCTACCGCAAGCCGGTGGGCTCCTTTGTCGATTGACAGATTTGACGTGATGAGTTGGTGAGGTTGCTTTGTCCGTGGATGCTCAAGTCGAGTCGTAAGGTGCCGGTAGGTAGCTTTTACCGCGCCAGACTCGAGGAAAATGTGGTGATGGCTTCACGTGACTATCCGATTGAGTAGGTAAGGTACCTTAGGTAAGGAATCAGCTACGTACTTTCCCTAATGTCGATTTGGATGGAAGGAAAGAGCCGACGATGTAGAAATGAAGAAGGAAAGAAGGATCCGGGTAGATACGTATTCAGATGTCCATTCCTTCCTGAACAGTTCCTTCCTCTCGAAGCTGCAGGGAACCCAAGCTGAAAGGGTATCGTGCGCCTCACGACGAACGCAGAAGCTTCAAGACAGGACCGAACGGCGCGCAAGGCGTGGAGGAGCTGGAGAGCAGCAAGGAGACGATGGGGGGAAAACGAGGGGGGACGAAGATGCGCAAGGGGACATGGACGATCCAAGGGGCCCTATCCGTACCATGGCACACTATGGCAAGGTAAGGTCAGGTAAGCTTATGCAGGAAGAGACGGTCCGCAGAGTCTTAGTGCGACTGTCCGTTGACAATAGTACTGCCGTCAAAGGTCAAAGCATCTGATCGAGGAACACGGGAACAGGAACGAGGGCGGGGAAGAAGAGAACGTTGAAAGTCGACAGCGCATCGCCGCATGCCAGAAACGAGGGACGCACGGCAGCTCTGCAAAGCATTTCTTACGAATGGGCTGTCACATCATCACTCTAGTCTCGGGGCAGGTAAGGTAGTCTTCGGGCAGGCAAAGGAACGAGTGGGTTTGTCTGCCGTGCTCGAATCGTAAGAGAGGGAGGGAGGGGAAAGCAAGGCAAGCCACCAGACAGATGCAGAATGCACAATGCAGAGAGTTGCATGCGGGATGCCCCAACTTCCAAGCACCTCTGGAAAACTGGCGGTGGACAAATATGGCCCCAAGGCGCGGGGTTCCCCCGGGCGAGTCGTGTGAGAGTGCGAAGGGCCATGTCTTCCTTTTGTTCTCGCTGAGGTTAAAGGTAACTTTTTGGCGTGATGTTACGTACAAGACCATGCTCATGCATCTTAAAAGTACAATTATGATGGAGAGAGTCAGGTATCTCACCCGCAGCAAGGGGAATGGAGGCAAAGGTTGGGGTAATTAAGGTGGCGTGCCTTGCGTATTGTCTTGGGTGTTGCGCGCCGTGTCTGCGTGTCTCTTGTCACTTCACTCTTTCATCTGAGACTCGAGAAGGTGTCGCGTCGATGCTGTGGCCATGAACATGACCTTGACATCGACCGTTGTTGACGGCAGATGTAAGCAGTCACGTAGTATGGTAATTTGACAAAGTTCATCCGGCAAGTGGTGATATCCTATTCCACCCAGGTACACGCAATGTCAACGAGACCCTCAATGACCGACGCTATGGCTAGATCCTGACATGCTCAAGAATGTTTCGTATCAGTTTGCTGAAGAAGATGAGGTGCACATTCTATCTGTAAGATGGAGCTGTTGGGGCTCTTCCTATGTGTAACTTGGCTATTCCTTATGAATTCACATTCTCTGCTTCACTCAAAGCTAACAGACAGGCTAGTAGATGCGCAAAGACAAGGAAGACTGAGGCAATTCACTCGAATGCCTTCAGTAGCAAACCCAATACCTCAGTACCTTAGTTACGTGACGGTGACAATGACAGGCTTCACTCAGTGACAGACTGACGAGACGAAGACGGGAAAGCTGCCGGTACGTATCGCCCGCCGCCCGCCGCCTTTCCCCTCGCTCCTGGGAGCCACCCTGGACCCCCATTCCATTCCTTCCCCCAGGTCAGCCCCAGCCAATGATGACGCATCAAATGACCGGATCACCCAGTTTTGTGTTTTTTTTCTGTGCCTGGGGCCCTGGGGGGAAAGTTGGGAAGGACCCGCCCACTACCTTGAAGAGCTTCGAGGTGCAGGAGCGCAGCAGCGGCAGGACGGGCGGCGCTGAGTGTCGCATGGGCCCGGACCTGGCCCGACAATCTTGGAAACCTGAAGCTCCCTTCGCTTTTCTCAATGGAATGAGGAGAAACTCGAAGGGGCCCACCTGGCACCGACAACGGGACGATGGTGCTGGTGCACAGTCAGCGTCAACGTGCAACTGGGACGGGAGGACATGTCACTCCCGTCACTCGAGCACTTCAATGCTTCAACGAGCCCTAGGCTCTTCTGTTCTTTTGAGAACTTGGAAAGGAAGTTACGTAAGGTACCTATGCAGAGGCACCGAGGAAAGGAAAGTTGACACGATCAGGTCGGGCGCGTCAGGGTGGTCAGGGGCTCCTTCAGTCAAGCAGGGTTCAGGTCCCCCAACCACCCGGCCTATCCTTCCCCGTCCATGGATCACCGCTGGGCCTTGGTGTTGGGCTGAGAAGGAAAGCGGGGGCAGGCAAGGCCGATGAAGCAGGTGCGTCAACAGGGTTACTGGTTGCCATCATGATAATAAAGTACCTCAGACTCATGACTTATCTCTTGACTGCCATTGCATTCGGTGTCTCGCTTCCAGCAGAGATGCACCAAGAAGGGAGAAATGCTACACCTTGTTTTCTCGAATGTAAAATGCCCGGGAAGAGGTTGAGAAAATCAATCATCACGCAAAACTGCGCCTTCCTCGTCTCGAAATTGGAGGTGTATCCCATGAGGAAGCTTAGGCAAGCATAGCACAGCAAAACAGAAAGAACGGCGTGGGCCGTGGTAGCTCTTTCCGTCACCCTTCCCCTTCCATTGGAAGGTCCCCACAAACAGCTCCTTCCCCAAACTCGCTCCCAAGATCCCGTGCCTGCCCTGCGACATCGACCCGCCCAAGGTACGCACTTTCCTTTCCGCAGTGCACCAACGACAAATTCGAGGAAAAGCTCTTTTGCGACCTGACCTTATTACCTCATCCATTGACCATTCCAAGAAAGTTGCGGAAAGCTTCTCGATCAACTCCACCCTGGCAATCTAATTCTGCCGACAATCGGCCAGTCATTGCTCTAACCGCGGCAACTTGTCTTCTTCCTGTGCGTGTTCGTCGGACATCAGGCACATCACACTATTCGGGGCAACAGCGTCCGGCGAGAGCCGAAGACCAGAAAAGAAGAAAAAAATCACTGCACTACCTTGCGAGATGCCACAGGGCCCGCCGGCAGCTATCCGCGCTCCTTGCAAAAAAACAATCCAAGAAAAGTAGGTCAATATCTAGCAAACCCTGACCGCAACAAAGATGCAGGGGATTTGAACAGACCCCCCGGCCGCCAGAGGGCGGTGAAGAGGCAAAGACGACCATAGCTTCACCCAATGCCCTTCACCGATGGCTCATCCCGACGCCTACCCGCCGTAGATGCATAGACCCGAGTACTATCCACTACCTCATCTAGACCCTTGAGAGCAAGCAAGGCAAAGCCAACGAACGCGCTTGGAGGCCCCTTGACCAACGACAAACTACAATCATGGAAGGGATGGGATGTCTGGTCACCTCGCGGTCAAACGTTGTGTTATTCTGCCATGAATACGGCACCGGCTTTGCAAATGCACATTGTCAGCGTGTCTTTCACCCTCCATCAGCCAGTCGCTCATCAACGTCCAACTCTATGCGCCATTCGCTATCGCTCCGGCCCCCATATCTCATCCTTGCATCACATCACCAACGCGGGAGGCCAAAAGGTGCCTGGCTGATAGCGGTTCGCCGAATCATCCCATAAGATCGACCACGTCGACTATCGCCCGCTGTTCCGTCACCCGTGTATGGCTGGATTCCCCTCGTCTTATGTGCGGCATGACACTCCATCTGGTTCGTCACGCAACACCGCATCCTCCCGCTTTCTGCCAATTGCGGCGTCAGAGACTCTTCAACCTGCAGACTGACAGCTCAACGCATGACGCCGGGATTGACAGGGGGGCCACTTGCCGGCTGCAACCACTTCCGCACATTATATGTCGCTGCTGAGCGATATCACCAATCATACGGGGGGACTACTTCGCATCGGTTACTTCAGCTCAGTTTTGCCCAAGCAAAGGCACTGAGTGGTCTGCATTCGCAACTTTTGACCCTACAAGCGTCTCTACTAAGATCCTGCTTCGTGAACATGAACGGTCACCACATTTCACCGATTTGACATGCTTCGACTTTAGCTTCACACCAGACGGGACAGATCTTGGACAGAGAAGCTGTAGGCTCTACTGGGCATCCTAACATACAAATCTCCACGTCACGTCTTCCCAACCCTTCCGCCGCGAAAGTTTGATATTCTCGGCGGCCCGATCACTCGCCGGTCGTCTTGTCGCTCCACCTAATGGCGGAGCTTCCGCCGCAGGAACCTCAACGCCATCCACGTCGAACCCGAGCGCTAACGCGCTGACGAACCCGAGGGTCTCCGTTTGGGCAAAGTGACGGCCGGGACACAGATGGCGGCCGCCGCCGAACGGGATCAATGCCCCACGTCTCCGTTTCTCATCCCGGGGATCAACGTCAAGGAATCGCTCCGGCTTGAAAGAAGCGGCATCGTCGCCCCAAATCTCCGGCATGAAATGCGTGACGCTTGCCGACCATTGCATATTGGTGCCCTTCTTCAACAGATACTGACGACCATCTGTGTCTTCTAGTGTAGCATCCTTCATAATACGTCGGTTTCCTATCTGCGCACTGTGGAGCCTCAGAACTTCGCGGAAGCAGGCGCCGAGGAAAGGACAGTCTGCTTCCAGGCTTTTAGCATTAATTGTCACGTCTCGTCCCGTTTCGCTCTTGGTTTCCACAGCCACCCGTATAACTTCCTGCCGGACACGCTCAACGTACTCTGGCCTGGAGAAAACTTCGGCAAATGTCCAGAACAGGTTCGACGCCGTATTCAGCGTTGCAGCAAAGGGAATCAGAAACTCGGTTTGGGAGAGGTCTTCGGAGGGCATCCCCAGCTCGCGTAGATACCGAGCTCGGTCTTGAAGAATCTTTGCCACATCCGAGTTCTCATCTTTTCGTGCCTGGTAGAAAGGTCGGATAAGATCACTCATCCTCTTTCGGGCAGCGATAGCTTTGGGAGCGACCAAATTCGGTGCAACCTTCATCACCAAGAGCCCTGCACCTTTTTCAAACGTCCTGCTTCATGTTAGCGAATGCCACGCCGCTCATTATGCACTCTCTTCTCACCAAAGATCTTCAAGCATCTTGGCGTCCCACATATTGTCCTTCCCGTACAGAGCAGTCGCAGTGGCCATGGTCAAGGTGCCCTTGATCCATTCGAATCCATCGGACAGTGGGCTTATGCCATTGATTGTGTTCAACACCCCTGCCAAGTATTTCAGAGCAGCATGGTTCATCTTTTGGAGCGCCTCCTGGCGTAGATTTGCCGCCATGGTTTTCTCGATCTGGTGCAAGATTCCTGGTTGCATAAGGGTGTCTATGTGATGTTTCGGAAGATCCAGCACAGCCGACGAGGCTTCGATCTGGAAAGGCTCGAAGGAAATGTCTCCGTGGCACATAGCCGCTGCGATCAGAGAGGGCGAGTTTGCCACGTACATCTTGCCATGTAACATCGGTAGTGTGCAAATCGGCAATCTGTTTTCCTTGCTTCATGCTCCAGTCAGCAAAAGAATGTGCACTTGTTCAGACAACCAAAAACATACTACAACCTGGCATAGAAGCCGCCTGATTCTCTGATGAGGGAGATAATATGGCCGAAAACTGGCAGCCTCGGACGAAGCACCGGGGGTTCACGAGGATCGAAGTTCGGAAACATAAGCTTCTTCAGCAGCAAGAACGCCGGTACTAACAGCAATGCCGCTGTGACTACAATCATCGAATAACTTCTACCTGCCGACTCCGTACTATGAGCGCTAACGTCTGCCATTTTTCGGGGAGATCAATCAGAGCGACACAACGCGCAGTATTGAGAAATAAACGTCAGAGCTCCCATCAGGCTTTGATCGAGGGTACGGCACGATCATATGGGAAATCCCCTCCCCTCATATGGCTAGGGGTGTTAAAACTTCGTTGCACACGCGTGTGGTCAGCGCTAAGAACGCCTCTCAGAGCAATCGTGTCACGAAAGGCGCTCGCCTATCATATTGCCGGTGGAATTTCTTATTCCAGCCACCGAATGAGGGCTGATATTGTATCAGATCTCGAGAAAGGCTGGGAAAAGAAGGGCTTCGTCATGCTTGACCTGTGGATCATCTGTTTATCCCCTTGTTTCTCTTGATATCTCGGGCTTGAGCTTTCGAATCTTCGTGAAGTCACGCTGTCAGCGAATATTTTATCGCTTCAGCTACCTAAGATGGCAAACTTCTGCACTCGCGCGAAACCGTCCCAATTCGTGCCCGATTCTACAGCAATCCACGAGGACAGTCTCCTGCCTGAAAGCCGAAGGCATGCGGCTGAAAAGAAGGGCCTTAGCGACGGAATGCTCCAGTCTAGCCTATTCTGATGGTGGCAGGCGATGATCTACGTCCACGCTCAAACGTGACAGCTTCCTTCCTCTTTGATATGATCCAGACTCGGGACTGTGATCGGCACATGGTGCCTTGAGGTAAGATTTCTGCCGAACTGCTTGCGCCCCTGTGGGCCTTCATTCCAGCCGTTGTCCGACCTGCTCATTTCAAAGCAGTTTGAGATCACTGACAGCATATGACATCCAGATCGAGCTGTCCCAAACGCCATCCGAACCCTTGGCAACTTTTGCCCATGCTTTACGCCAATGGTGAGCCAGCTAAGTTCCATAGGAGGCTTTGAAGAGGGCACATTTGTCATTGAGAACTCTCTTTTTCGAGATCACGCAACACCAACGCCTTATGGCCATCCCAGCTACAGCGTGTGTACTTCGTAAGGTATATCCCAGGCAAACGGCCGGGATTCCTTTCCTAGCCCGTCAGTCTGGCTACTATAGCAGCGGGCTTTTGCATCCAAACGCAACGCACGAGAGTTCAGGGCTACACCTGCAGCTTTGCCTTCTACGCACCAGCCAGCCAATGTACGACCGCGGCATCAGCGTTGCAAAGCCAACGGGGTATCCAAGTGCTACAACTTCACGTCAATGCATACCATCTTAGCTTATGACTATAGTGCGAAACGTCTTTGGATTTGTTTCAAACCTAGATGGCACTGTCAACCACGTCTATGACGATTGATCCCCAAGAAGAAGTCGTTGATTAAACTCCGGGACTCACAAAGGCCAACATCGATTCGAGGAATGTTCGTCTCTGGGCAAAGGCGGATGTCTCCCCCGCCACAACATGAGATTATCTTCTAAGGGACATCCCCATGGACCCTCGATCGAAGTGTAGCTTCGCCTTTCGAAGTCTTCTTCGCTGCAACCTGGTTGCTTAAGACCCCTGGTACTTTGAGACGTGGGCCAGGAATTGACCGGCCACCCATCCGAGATTGTCGAGATGCTACGGCACGTGGAGACAGAAAACGATTGCGGGTGTGTTGAGCAAAGAGGCACCACACCGAGCCAGCTACGCACCATCGTGAAGATCAAGAAACCTCGCACTGGCAGCTGTCTTTTTCCACCTGGGGCGAACGGATTGCCAATTCAGTGCGGCAAGCCGTATGTCGGTATCTGATCCCTGCATGACAACAGCTTTTTGATGCTTACACTGCCCGCCGTTCGGTGAGCTCCAGCCCCTCACACATCACTACTCGGGTTTCTGTCACCCCGTTGTCACAGCGGGGGACGTGCGGTGTTGAAGTTGAGTTTGCGTCAGGACAGCCATGCATCCCTGACAAGGTCAAGCATCTCCCCAAGTTCTGACGTTTCGCATATTGAACTAAACGGATTGTTTTAAAAACAAGTAGTCAGCCCGTCGACGGTTGATCTCCCGCGCCACCTCCTCCGCCCGCCTATTCACCGGGACAAAATTTAACAAGCGTCCGATCCGAATCTGAAGAGTTGCAAAGGGCAGAACGTCTGCAAACGAGCTTGTGTACCGATAGAATGCCGAAGGGCTCAAGGCAGTATCACGGAAAGACGAAGAACGGGTGCCGACAGTGCAAAAAGCGTCGTGTCAAGGTACGGAATGATCCTATTTGCAAAGAGGCGGGTAGGCATGAGCAAGGCGTGGGCCGCCAATATCGGGACAGACTGGTGACGTGCATGTAGGAGTCCCGGTTTATTGGGTTCTTCCTTCAGCCAGTCACGATGTTGGTTAGCCGAGCAAGACATGATCGCCGTCTGAGTCTCCCAATACTACACTGTACTATCTCAGGGAGCTTGTTCTTTTGCTAACTTGACATGGGGTTCTAGTGCGACTGCGTTGGTCCCGTATGCGCCAACTGTCGCCGTCGCCAAGAACACTGCAGCTATCTCGGGCTACTCGCAGACGCCCTCAATCGCGAAAATGGAGAAAAGGCTAGCGATACCTTGAGTATGGTCCGCCGTGCCGCCACGGTTGCGGCGCACGCGTCTTCACGAGATGCCCTCAGCGCTTCATTACCTGCCGAGAAACTTCGCGCCGACGAGGCCGAGCTCAAACACCACTTCCTGAACGAGGCCTGGTTCACCTTTTCATTACAGACCGATCCTCGGAAGTGCGACGTGTGGTCGAGATGGGTGCCGCAGCTGGCGTCACGCAACGTGTTCATCCACCAGAGCATGCTCTCTATCGCGGCCCTACACTTATGCTACCTCGAACCGCCAAACGCGAAGCGATACTATTCGATGGCTTGCCAACACGCCATACAAGCGAGCAACTATTTCCGGCTAGCTGTTCCTCAGGTCACGGAGGAGAACTGGCTGGCTACCTTTGTGTTTTCCATGTGCAACGGTATCTTTGGGTACTACCGGCCGTTTGCCGACGAGAAGGTGATGGGACAGGTCAGCACGTTTGAGCCCTGCAAAGCTCTCACAGTAATGCGGATAGCGGCCAGATTCTCAGACACGGTCACGCCGCACGTCTTCAAGAGTCCTATACGGGACAAGCTAGCACAAGTCGACGTAAAAGTATGGCGCGACAGCAGCGACATACTGCTACGGCCAACCATACAGAAGAAAGCCAAGTTTGTTGAGTTTCTATGCCTAGGCCCCGAATCAACGGGGATACCAGTCGAAGACATCAAGATATACCTCGGTGCCCTCGGCGCACTCAAATCCTGGATCATGTCTCTCCCCGGACGGCCGAGGATATGGAAGCACTTCATCATCTGGCCGTCGCTGGTGTCGGAGCAATACCTCTCGCTTCTGAGGCTGAAGGAACCCGTGGCGCTCATGATCTTTGTCCTCTGGATCGAAGTCATGTTCCTCGCGCCGCGGCGATGGTACCTCATGCCCTGGTACGATCGCGGGCACGCCAGCGCGATAGCGGAGCTCAGCAAGCAGGGCGACACGCCCGCCCGCCGGTTCTGGGATGCGCTGCAGTCGGAGGATAGTCAGTCTGATACCACGGGCGAGGATTCCGAGGGCAGTGTGGGGTGGGCGAGTAGTCCGTCCATTGCTAGGAGCGACGACGTCGGGGGGCGAAGAGGCGGAATTGTCTTGCTGTCGACTGGAGAGGAGTATGTTGGACAGGACAAAGGGTGTGGTGGTGGTAGCAGCGGGTATATGAGCATTCCGGCATTGGCGCAAAAGGCGAGCTGATGATGGCAAATGTCATCGCGTATATCGTCGGAACTGGTCACCTCGCGCACTTTCCATCGATGGCACTACTGTAAGGACCTGCAGGCTCCTGAACTGACAGGTGCCTAATAGCTTTTCCAGCGGGAGGAAAGAAACATACTCTGGTTTCGAGACCAGGTCGGGGGAACATTCCACGATCACGACTACATCTCGTGTTTGGCCTATATAATACGGCCCTAGTGACACTGCCCTCAAGCTGCGAAAGGTCGCGATGTGTGTTATCATGGCCTGGCTGGGGCACCAATCTGACCGTACCGACCGATTTTTAATTGTCTACTTTTGGTCCGGTGTCCCATCGACGATCGATTAGGATTCTGGAGGCACGATGGACGAGGCGATCGCACACTCATGAGCACCAAGCATGTCAAGCCTGTTCTGCTCTAGCTATCAAGATAAACCAAATCACATACTAAATATTATTGTTTAACTGAATGTCATCGCTTCAATACCCTACACTGGTGTACACAGGTGTCCCTCAATAATGGTAGTAACATGATGTCTGCCAAGCACGTGCATCTCCATGTCAATAGCAGGTAGACACACCATCTAAGATGCCTGGCCCAAGTAAGGACTCGCTGTCTGATAAGGACCAATCCTACATCGGCGGTTAAGTTCAGCAACCGCTCAGAGACGGCCCATTTGAGCAACTTTCCTTTCACATGTTCCTTTCATCACGTTACTACGCACCATTGCTGTGCTTTCTTGGTGCGCGAATTTTCATACGCTTTGTACAGAGTACCTTTCCGCCATTGCCTTGGGGGTATAAGGTGCTGAGGTACGCGGGCGCGCCAATGCCTCTAACAGCAACTCCGCGTGAAGTAAAGGAGCGCCCGCCCCACCCCGCCCGTATCGTGCCGTTGGACTGGGCTCGCTAGGAGGTGTGGGGTGACGGCATGCAGGCGGGAGGTTTCGTCCGGCGTCGGCGGGGGGTGGTAGGAAACCTTAGTTTCGGCCTGATGATTTCTTTTTCATACTGTTATGAATGTGGAGAAGTGTTACACATGTATGGATTCCAGAGACATGCTTGAGCCCGACTTCTCATTGCTTCGAAGCTGGAATTCTCGGTAGTTTCTGGATCGGTCTGCGGGAGTTAACGGCACGGAAGGGATGGGAGGGAGGGGCAAGGAACCGATCCCGGAGGCGGGTGCCATCGGCTTTCGGGAACGACTCCGCCGGTGGGGTTCGACGACACATAGTTTAGACACCTCCACCCTCTGTGATTACTTCGCACCTCATAGGACGTGGAAGTGAGTGTACGGGGGCAAATGTGTACCAAACAACTGTACTCGCGGTGATCGTCGGGGCGAGACGCGAGGTACGTCTAGGACCTGGACTGTTTATGTACTGCATGAATACTGTTGGGAGAGCACTGGCCGATCCCGCCCCTAGAAGCGCTGGCCGAGCAAGCGGGCGGAGGTCTGAAGTGGGAAAAGAGCTCAGGATTGCACATGTATGATGTCTTTTACCCCGCAGGAGATAGTCCAAAGTTCGTGCTATGCAGTCTCTTATCAATTGTCTATATAACATGCTCATATCTCGGTCGTCTTCCTCCCTTCTTCGCTCTTCTCTTTTCTGCAACCAAGTTACGTTGACCAGCTTCGATATACACACACAAATAGTAGGCCCATTTCCGTGTAACCGGACGCATACAAACTGACACCCTCACAGGAGGCACTTTGCCGTACAAGCATCTTCACGAGTATGTGAAAACTCTTGAGCGCAAATGCATGAGCCGGTGCCCACCCGAGCGCAGACGTCGCTACCATCACTCTTCCCCATGATGAGTTAGCAACCGATGCCGACGGTGTGGCTGAGAATATACGGCCTTGAACTTGATCTGGATAATACCAGCGAAAGGATCATGCACCCTAACACAAATAGATTACACCAAGAACACACCTACTCGAGAAGTTCTTCCGAACCCCAACGACAACAAAAGACAAAATGGCTCCTCCCGCTGCAATCTCCCCCGTCCGCGACTACGCCGTCCCCGTGATGGCCAATAAGTCCAAGCCCTCTACCCCCGTCCCCACCACCGCTGCCAACGCTTCTACCAAGGTGGAAGACATGTTCGGCAAGTGGGATACCTTCAAGTTCGCCCCCATCCGCGAGTCCCAGGTCTCGCGCGCCATGACGCGCCGCTACTTCTCCGACCTCGACACCTACGCCGAATCCGACGTCGTCATCGTCGGCGCCGGGTCCTGTGGTCTCTCCACGGCCTACGTCCTCGCCAAAGCCCGCCCGGACCTCAAGATCGCCATCGTCGAGGCCGGCGTCGCGCCCGGTGGTGGCGCGTGGCTTGGAGGGCAGCTGTTCTCCGCCATGGTTATGCGCAAGCCCGCCGAAGTCTTCCTGGACGAGGTCGGTGTTCCGTACGAGGATGAGGGAGACTTTGTCGTGGTGAAGCACGCTGCGCTGTTCACGTCCACCGTCATGAGCAAGGTGTTGCAGTTCTCCAACGTGAAGCTGTTCAATGCCACCACGGTCGAGGATCTGATTACTCGCAAGAACGAGGATGGCAGCCTGCGGGTCGCGGGTGTGGTTACCAACTGGACGCTCGTCTCGATGCACCACGACGACCAGTCTTGTATGGACCCCAACACCATCAACGCGCCGCTCGTGGTGTCGACTACCGGCCACGACGGCCCATTTGGCGCGTTCTGCGTCAAGAGGCTTGTGAGCATGAAGCAGATTGAGCAGCTTGGTGGCATGCGCGGGCTGGACATGCAGAGTGCCGAGGACGCGATCGTCAAGGGGACGAGGGAGATTGTGCCGGGGTTGATTGTGGGCGGGATGGAGTTGAGTGAGGTTGATGGTGCCAACCGTATGGGTGAGTCGTCTCCTTTCACATACTTGGTTTGGGGAGATGAGTGTTACGTTTTGCTAACGTCCTCGGGTGTTATTCAGGTCCGACTTTCGGTGCCATGGCTCTCTCTGGAGTCAAGGCTGCCGAGGAGGCTCTTGCCATCATTGATGCCCGCAAGAAGCAGAACGAGCTCTAGACTGGGGTAGTCTGATGGGACGGTCATTTTGTTTCATCCGAAGATTGGGACATGGTTGCTCGCTGCTTTCCAGATCAGGTAGGTTTGGGTTGAAGTGACACGAGATTGGATACTTTGTCATGGTTTGAGATCAAGTACACAAGATACAAACATTCAAGTATGACCTGAATACAGTCACTCTTTTGATACTATGATTGGAGGTATACCTGTGATGTGAAGATCGGAGAACCTTGACAGGTGTATGGCTCTGACCTGCAGAAGTATGCGATCTCTCAGGTAGTGGTGAAAAGGCACCTTGCTGGCTTACCTCAACCCACCTTGGGCAGTCAAGGTTGCTCAGGCATAGCGAAATCTAACTGAGTCAAGCATCCTCCCACAAGATCCCACCCCAGCAGCCAACTATCAAAGCCCAAACTACAGACATCTCTTCCACACTCCCTCACAACACCTCACATACCAACATGTCACCCAACATGGACATGACTACTATCGGAGCGCTTGTGACTGAGCGTCAAGCCAACGACTTTATGGCTTTCCGTGATGACATAACTGCCTGGCAGAACACGAGAAACCAGTACAGAAGCTCCGGAAAAGAGGTTCCTCCGGCGATCGCAGCCGTCACAAGCTGGATCGAAGCCCAACTTGAGAAAGCAGTCGGGGCCATATACGACGGCGTATTGGAGACAGCACACGTCTATTGTAACCGGATACGGTACGGATTAAGGGCATTCGAACAGTTCACGCGCGAGGAGGCACTGTATGGCGGCCTCATCATGGAGCTCAGGCAGATCTTGAGAGACCACGGCCTGATGAAGGACCTCCACTGTAGCGCCAAACGCCTGCCAGAACTATGCGTCAAACACGACATGAAGGAAATTACGCCTCAGGAGATTGAGGACGCACAAGATCAACAGGGTTGGAGGGCGGCCACGAATTGGTCGGACTTGATCCGGGAGGTCGATCGGGAGCTTCGCTGCACCGCCGAGTGGAATCATTGCTACGGAAGGTACGGGGAACGTGGCTGGCGAAGCACGCCTTTCGAATGTCCGCCAAAACCGAAAACGCCCTTCTCGAATGTGGCGCGGGCAGTTATCGACCTTTGCCTCGATGAGGTCAGCGAGGAGGATAACTGGGAGTCCGTCGTGGACATTGCACGAGAACAGATAACGACGCCGAATGACTTCAGGCCCTACACAATATAGTTTGGTGTGTTCGATTACTTGAGTTACCGAACGGAAGCGACATGACGGAACGTTCTTGCAGAGACGCATCACTTAGCTGGGCGACGCGAGACTATGGCCTCTGTTGGAGTAGAAGGTTGACGATATGAACCTCGATAGAATGCAGAGAATGTTGATAGATTCACATTGGCTGAATTGCTCACACCAACTGAGGCAGCCCGTTATAGAGAGCTTTCGCCAACGCGAAGGGGTACCCTCCTAATAATTCATTGAAGTCAAGGGCGCTTCTCGGTCTCGATACATCATACGGATTTGAGAAACGTTTCAACACCACAAGACTAGAATTAGATACTTATGCAATTAGAAGTTTTTGGAAAGTCCCGCGTTCCGACATAGGTTGCTGTCGTATGCATCAATCTCGATATTTGCCCCAAACAGCTTACGATCTGTTCATTTTCCCGTGGTAAACGAAAGATCTGGAGAAAAGTCCGGCAACGTCAACGCCCAATCAACTCAACACATGCATCAAAGGTGTTTTTGTCTTATTATTAGATAGTAAAGACCATTGATTCTACAAAAGGCTGACTTTCTTTGACTTGATTCCCCCTTTCAGCTCAGGAACGTAGTACTTACACATTATCTACCACTGCAAAGGCTCTTTGTGCTGAATGACAAGGAGACAATGAAGCGAGTCTGCAAAGATCTGCATTATTTTCTGCGTATAAATGCAACTCGTTTCGTCTTCAGTCTAGAGCTTACCAATCCAGTCCATCACATCAACGCAGAAACCCTCAATATCACCATTCAATTCCTGACCTCCAGCATTCCAGCACAACTTTTTTCACCACCATCTCTAGGCATCATCTGACCATCTAACCTAAAGGACAAAGCCCGACATTGCGATTGTCATCTCATTCATCCTCACAAGAATTCCGATCATCATGTGTCTTATCCTCCAGCCAACCTCCCAATGCAAGGTGTGTCTCCAACTCATCCGACTCGAAGACGTAAACCAATTCTGCGCCAACACCGTCAACATCCCTAGCGGCACTAACTGGGCCAACATCTCACCTTCCATCCTAGGCTCCTGCGGCACCCTAAAGCTGACGAGAGTCCAACGCCTTGCTCAGTTCGTCTGCGAACACTGCCGCTGGTCGGCAGAACAGGCAGCCAAGGACTTTTACGAGTTCCTCTATCCGTCGCCGCACAAGTACTTTGGAGAATCGGCCCACGGCTTTGCTGAAGAGTTCTTGAGCCGTCCGAGTGCGCCTTCTCCCGGGAAGCAACGTCCGTTTCCCCGGAATAACAAGGGTAAGTCTTACAGCTTGCCTCTTCTAGCCATGACCGCAATCTCGAGATTCCCGATCCCAGCTGGGTCGGGTTGGCCCCAGTCTGAGGCGCCGTCTGAGGCATCAGTTGCCACGACGCACTTGAATCACCGCTCAACTCTGGACCCGCCGGCGAGATCCAAGTATGAGTTCCACTCTTCATCAAGTGTGTATTCATGTACTAGTGAGTCAAGCGATGAAGACAGTCTGGAGGATAATCAGAACGACAGCCGATGCCTTCGATGGGCCAATTCGGTAGACCTTATGAACAGCAAGCAACAGCCACCACCTCTGAACATGCTGATCGATCAGACCCAGAACCTTCCGGATACCCCCAAGTCCGCCAAGCAACTCCGGGTCGTATCATCTTGGGGCGCGAGAGCCGCTCACAACCCCGAAGAAGACCCCTGGTGGCTACCCGAGACCTGGGGTGCCATACAGGACCTCACCGACGATCTTGTCGAATATCTCAGCAAGGCTGAGCTTATTAGCACCTTTCACGGCCACAGTGTTCACGTCTCTCGCAACGAAAACGATACAAGTGCCTGGGACGAGAGCCTCACCGTCATCATCGTGACGCCTGGAGGAACAAGAGCCCGCATCATGACTGGGGAAGTGTATCAGCAGGGCGTAAGCCTGGCGGGCCTCCGCATGATTGATCGGGCTCGGTACCAGCACATCTCCAAGAAGGAGCAGAAGCATATGGAAAAGGCGGGACTCGGCTGCATCTTCTACCCGTGTAGAGTCGCGAGTTGTCCGCTCTCTCATAAGAAAGATCAGCATCAGCCGTGGCCTTCGAATGGCGAGAGCTTGCTTGCTGGCTTAGAAAGGGGATACCGGATGCGGAAGAACTGGAAGTCTCGGGCAAGTATTTCTGCCTCTATGGCGCCGACGCCGACTCCTCGTCAATATTCATCCCCGTTTCTTGTTCGAGGTCGATCGCCTGTCGTTGATGGGGGACTTTCCCGCCGTCGACCGGCTCCGCTGGATCTGACAAAGACAAAGGAAGTGAGATTCACTGATGCAGCAGATGTTACTGAATCCACCTGGTCCCGTGAAGATGTGACGCCTCATCCGAGCAGTCTTCAGACAGCAATCTCAGATGAGGAGGAGGAGGGTCCCCTCACGACGCCTGACTGGTTCGAACCTCTCATGAATGCACCACTCAAGGTAAAAGGCGATATGATGGTGAAGTACGGGGGTAGAGCTGGTAGAGTTCGACCCCAGAACTACGACTTGAACCCGGCCAGCGAGAGCAATGAATCACCACTTCCCCATGTTCGTTCCGAGACAAGTCGACAGCAGATTCCCAAGACTTGGGATGCCTCAATCTTTGGGCAAGTATACAACGCCAGAAGGGCTGCGGCTGATTCATCATGCGACGACACCTCCAAGTTGCGTGCCCTACCCATGCTCTGAATCAGTTATGGATTTCAAGCCCTGATGAGGATGATACTGACACCTGTGATCCCCCATCTCGGTAGGTAAGTGATTGGGGACGGTTATTGACGTTTGTGGAGTATGAGCTGCGTACGGGTGTCAAGGACGATAGTTACACGAGAATCCATGGATTTCTATAGTTGGGCTAGAATTACTACATGATTCAATAGACCATTCGTTTCAAATCTCACGCTACTGGATCCTTCGGTCAACTGTTTTAAACCTGATTTAGACTAACGATGCTGTATGTGGTCCTAAGCCATAGAATGGTTCTAACCTGGCGCCGGATTAAGGCTGATCGGCATCTTGCTTTCTCTAACCCCCCCATTTCCTCAGAGCGAAACCCCCCTCTCCGCCTTTATCATTGATGCAAGTAGGTGTCGATTTGATTGCCGAGAAGAATAGAGGTGTGTATGTGGTTCCTAAAACACTAGATGTTTAGCAGGTTTACATCTCTTCATCGCAACTACTACGTACTGTTTTTCAACACGAATTTCCGTGACAATACCGTTACGAGCTGCTTCCATATTGGTGTTCGAAAAAGATGGAGACAATTTACGTTTCGTGTGGAAAAAAGACGCTCTTCTCCAGGTTCACATCCTCTTCTTGCTCGTACACTTGAGTGGGCCAAACTTGTTCCTGGTGGCCTCCCACCACGCGGCACCGACCATACCCTCGTTGCAAATCCCCACCGTCGCGAAGCGCCAGGTCATGATGCCCTCCCACTTGTTCTCGCAGCCGGAGTCCGGGCTCGGGGCGCATACCGGGAATTTCTTGAGGTTGTCCCAGAGACCGCCGCAGATGTCAGGGATCTTGTCGACGTCGGGGACCATGGCGTGGATCATCCACTTGCGGTTGAGGTTCATCATCTTGAAGTAGTTGCCCGTGCAGGTGGGTTGACCTTGCTTTAATACCTGCGTCTGTTGCCCCAGCACGCCGGTGATGGAGAGGGCTATGGCGAGGACGGCTGTTGCGGAGAACTTCATGTTTGATGGTTGCTGTCGTAGGTCTTCAATTCTTGTGGATGGATGCGATGAGTCGTCTTCAGATGATTGTGTCTGAAATGTGGTGTTTGATTTGCCCTCTTGAATGGTATAAGGAAGAGAATTTCAAAAGCTGACCGCTGTCCTGGCATTTGTGTCATCAAGTCTATCCAGAGAGGTACCACCGACTGCATCCAAGTCGAGTATGAACCGCGGCTGGTTTTCTTTGGATCTTGGGTCAACCACAGAAAACCCTTCGCCACAAACCTTGTGTGCTGGCTCGCCTCCATCCCTGGCCTGACCTTGATGGGGCATCTCACGTTCCTTTTCGTGACATAAATGCATCTCGGCGTTCTTTTCTGCGCCTAGAGTCTGTCTAACTTCCCTCCATGATCACCAAGTGTAAGACAACGTTCAGCTCAAGATCCTCTGACATTCAAGTTCTCACGATACTGAAATGTTGATCGCGGAAACAAGGAAGAAGACCTTTCACCAACTACAAACCCATACTAGATTTTGCCAAAACCACACATGAAAGCTATCCTTCTACTTATTTCTCCACCATAGCCCATACAAACTGGAACTTAAAGTCTCAGGGTAGCAAGGAGAAAACTTAACCACCTCATCTGTATCACGTTTTCTCTGCGCAGACACGTCTGCAACGCTTGCCGGTTCTTCAGGAACAGCTTGTGGCCTTAGACAACGAGACTATCAACTCAGAACGGCAAAAATGCAAAAGATTGGGCCCTAACCAGGATTCGAACCTGGGACCTCTCCCAGATAGGTGATTCCGAAGATGTACCCTAAGGGAGAATCATACCGCTAGACCATCAGGGCTGCTGAGTCATTGAAGACTCGTGGTGTGATGCTCAGGGCTCCAGGGCGAGACCCTATGGAGGCGAGGAGCTCCTCTGGTGGGAAAATTGGTGATTGCAAGAGTGGTGCTGTGGCGGTGGTGGCTGGTGCGCGAGGGCGGGTGTATTTGTGCGCGTCTACTACGTATAGGCCCGGCGGTGCACATGACTCTCTCTCTGGTCAAGGTAAACGGTTGCTCTCGCGAAAGTAGCGCTTCATTGCTTTGGGGCCCATGGGTGCCGTGGCAGCATCAACTGCCAATTCGCCCTTCATTAAAGCGTTGTCCCGTGCTTGATAGCGGTGACATCAAATTCGTGTGCACGTCAAGTGCATTGGGCGCCGCCTCGCCCCCTATCCCAGGGGAAGACAATGGTGAATGCTGTTTTGTTGATCAGTTGACAAGTCAGATCGAATCTCAGTCGAGTCCTCGACGGCAGGCCCAAAGCTGTCCCAAAGGGTGAATGATCTTCAGGAACAATTGTTGTAGGCACATTCCACCTGCCTCCCTGGGCAACCACGCGGGCCAAGCACCAAAGGGAAACAATGAAAAGGGAAGACTATTCTTAGAGGCAAACAACCTAGGTCCCTCCGGGTAATGCCACATGGGCGCGCATTTGGTCCGGGTGCGGCTCCCCCTTCTCTGGCGCCGTCGGGACTCTACTGTGTACACAGCCGCAAGCCAAGCTCCCAGGAGAAAGATCGACTCGTCCGAACTTGTTGTCTTTCGCGGTAAACAGCGATAAGCTCCGAACCCCCAAGGCCATCCAAGAAACACCGTTTTGACGGGCTCCCTCCCGCACATGTCTATACCTACGCTCTTAGTGCCCTGAATGCCTGATTAACAGCTGGTCCTGCAGTAGCAGAAGCAGCCAGCCTGCAGGCCATCGCTGGACCGGCGGTAGCTCCATCTGCCCTCAGTCCTGACGAGGCCTATGACGCGTTCAGGATTGCCACTTGCCCACTGGCCTCTGCTGCCAGCACTGCCCCAGTGGAGAAACGGAACAGAAGGAATCGCAGATTCGCACTGCACAGAAAAGGCTCTTCCTTGGAACCAGTTCGAGAGGGGAGGGAGAAGGGGGGAGGGATTTCGGATAGCGACCAGGTTCAATGGTGATTGTGTTCCCACCTGGTGGACCGGGTCGCCGTATCCGTTACGCTGAGCGGCTTGAACGGGCTTCCGCTGGGTTTAGCTGGGAAGATCCAGACCCCATCGGTTCCTGGCACTCCCACTTTCAACCACCCCGGCGGCGTACGGGCCGTTGTGCGGCAGCGGCACTGGGATCGGAACATGGGAGAAGAAAGATGGGACGCCGTGAGTACGAAGTCTCTAATGAGCTGTGTTGCACTGCCGAGGAAACATCCTGCGAATATTGAAAGAGCAATATGGTAAGCGAAGGGAGGTGAAGGGGAAGAACTCAGGGAGAGATGGAATGATGCTCCATTGGCACAATGCATAGCAAAACCCAGCCAGGCGGCTCGGTCACCTTGCCTGTTACCCTGATTTTGCTCTTCTTGAATGGTATGTGTCCGTATCCGTACAGGCAATCTCCAATCCCTCACTTCACAATGCTGTGATATTGTCTCCATCAGGCTGTCTCCATGGGATGATCTTGACGATTGAATGCGTCTATGCTGCATTTCGATGCTCCGAGATATCGAGTCGTCAACCCTCTTTCGAGAGGCTTGCAGATAAGACCAGAACACAACTGAGGGGTTTTCGGGTGCCGAACTTTGCATGCTGACAGCAGGTTGAAGGACGAATAGGACGTCGATGAAGGGGTATTGCGACTATAGGGCTTGGATATGCAACGTCATGGAAGGCAAGCAGTGACGACTGTCTCTGAAGTTCGGGGCCGTCAACTCGCCTGTTCATGAGCATTTGGGTGAGAGATTTAACTTTATGCACTCGGACGCCTCCACCGGATCTCCACCAGGGAAAAGTCTCTGCTTTGGTCGGAGTCATGGAGAGAAATTGAGAAAAGCAAGAAACGGAAACCTGGAGTTGGTACCGCTCTAGACTTCTTATCACGTCTGGAAAGGTTCGAGAAACCTGAATCCGGTCCAGCGGACAGCAAAACACTGCAGGTAAGCAAGGCAGAACTTTGTGCGATTCTGCAGGTCGCTTGTGGACATGTGGACGGGCAGCGTCGATCTTCCCGTCATAGCTCGTGCTTCTCTTGAGTGTCCCGTCGTGCAAAGTTGGAGTGTGGTGGCACTTTGTGGGTGCCATGTTTGTGGTCCACCGACCAAGTTCAAGATTTCGTGTTCCGGTTCCAGGTCGAGGTCCAGGTTCCAGGCCCAGGCGCTGGAGCTAAGTTGACTGTTCCTGACATGGCGGCAAGCCTTTTCCCCTCTCTCACGCAGCCAGAAACCTAACGTGCGGGTGTGCCTGGCCGGCGCGCTTTTCCTGCCGGCATTTGTTGGTGTGGGATCCATGGGGCGTACGGAAAAGAAGGGGACTTTCACTCGACTCGAGAAAGACACTGATGCGTTGTCCAACAGCAACGGGATGTTTTCATCCCAATGTGTGTGTGATGTGGCTTTTAGGCGCTGAATATCCGCATCACCCCAAGATGAGATGGAAATACTTTTGATGACGATCCATCAAACCAAACAAACCCAAGCTTTAGTATCTCATCTTCCCAGTCGATAATCACCCATTGGCAGGTCCGCCGTGTAACGGTCTAGTGATGCTTGGCTTCTGGTTGGCTTGTGAATGGAATGTTACTGCGACCTTGAGGAGGGATTGGCTTGGACTCGAACCTGGGACCAAGCTTTGGCTGGCCGTGGCCCTTTTGGAATTGGCGTGCGGTGAAATTACCTTCCCCACCCCCTTTTCCCACATCACCGTCCAATCCTGCTCTGGCGCCGGCGGTGCACCATGATCCATCCATGGCCCATTTCCCTCCACCATCCGACTTACCCATGTCTCCCTACTGGTTCCTGGCTCCCACACGTCAAGAGGGAGGTGTGTGTGTCTGTGTGTGCGTGTGCCTGAGTTGGCAGAGCCAAGCTGGCAAGCAGCGAGAGAAACAGGGATTGTTCCTGGCCCGGCCTGTCTGGCCCTGGAACCAGCGATGCCCCTCTCCACATCGCCTAGCCCTCTCGGTCATCACTTCTGGACCTTTACCCGTTTTGGTGTCTGTTCCTGGCTAAGCAGGGTTGTTGACGGGTTGTGATGGGCTGTTGATGGTGGATGATAGAGCAGAACGCGATGTCTTGGTGACGACGCCCCTGTCAACACACCAAGTTCCCCCAGTTGGACAATGTCTCTTGCTAACACGCCTCGCAGAAGGGCGCTTCGAGTGAGATTATTTCCATCCCTTCAAAATGGCTCTCATCTCCCTCCCTTTTCTGGCACATCCCGGTTTCTAGTTTTTTGACACCACCACTCTCTCTTCAAACCATCGTCCAAATCCGCGAGTTATCTTGATAACCCGCTGTCACTCTTTTCCGGACGGGTCTAGCAAACAAAAACACAACGTTTAGCATTCTTAACCACCAACGAGTTTTACGAATCTCTCCACGATCTCCCGATAGTTCAAGATGCACTTCACCTCTGCCGTCGTCCTCGCGGCCGCCTTCGCCGGCGTGTCTGCCCACCCTTCTGCCCACAACCACCAGAAGTTCCACGAGCGCCGCAGCGCTGACGCCGTCGAGGAGCGCGACCTGACCTTCATCAAGAACATCCTCCCCTCCACGACTCCCTCTTCCACCTCTGCCGCCCCCGCCGCTACCTCTGCCGCTTCCACCGGCGGTGTCTACACCCCCTTCTGCAGCGGCTCCAACAGCAAGCGCGCCACCATCGCCGAGATCGCCTACTCTGGCAACACCGGCAGCGCGGACAACTGGGGCTGCAACATGCAGATCGTCAACGACGCCAGCGTCTCCCTCTACAACTACACCACTACCTTCACCGCGAGCGATGCCGACTACTCTTGCTCGTGCTTCAACAAGATCGGCCCTAAGGGCCTGATCGACGGCTGCTGGTTCGCCGCGATTACTTTCACCGTCAAGGAGGGTCAGTCCAAGAACGTCGCCTTCGACGCCGACTCCCAGGGCTCATGCGCCTGCGGCTCCGGCTCCACGGTCCCCAAGACCCCCATCGGCCAGTTCGCTGGCACCTGGCTCGAGTTCGACTGGGGCTCCACCCCCAACGGCGGCAACTCCGGTGCCGACGCCTCCGTCCTCGTCGCCGGCTCCCAGAGCATGGCTTACTTCGGCATGAAGGTCGCCGCCAACGGCAAGACCTGCTCCTGGGTCAAGTCTGACGGCACCAACGAGGGTGCCTACATGCCCGGTATGGAGGCTGAGGATGGTGTCGGCTGCAAGGGCTACTACAAGGGCCACCTGGACGTCACTCTCGGCGACAAGTTCACCGCGTAAGAAAGGTTCATCCTTTTCTTTCCGCCTGGTCCAGTCTTCTTCCCTTGCCTGGGGTGAGTTTTTCGTCGGGGAAAGGGGGTCATCTCACACAACCCACGCAAAAAAACCTCGCCACGATGACGAAGCCCAGTAATGGATGTTTTCCTTAATCTTCAGAGCTTCTTGACGGCGCATGGGATACCTCTTTTCTTTCGGGGCACATATTTTGGATGGTGCGGCCTATTTGCCATTGCCCCTCGTGCCCACCACCAGCTTTTTCTGCTTTGGACATTTGTGCAGATTTCTCGGGATATGGGAAAAAGCGTTAACGAACAAGACGGTTGGTTTAAAGGGACGCCTTGTTCAACGGAACGGTTACATAAATCTAGTCCCCCTACCTACCCACACATATACCTAGTGTCTGCTGCTTAATGCGACATCAAAAAACTCATCCTTTAACACCTACTCAAGCTTGCCTCCCCATCTGTGCTCTGCGTTCATGTATCGTTCATCCCGTCATTCGTCTCAAATTTGATTAGCAGTGGGCTTGCCGTGTCTAGCGAGGCACAGCTGGGGATCAAGCTTCAGAACCGTTTCATCCACGACATGGGATGTCGGCAATGCTTGTACGACCCGATCGATTCGCTGTTATCATCACCTGAGTCATTTATCTGGCTGTCTCTCAAATCTAATGACAAGCCGGAAGCAGCCTCTCATACCAGTAGGGTTCTCAAGTCCATGGACCTAATGTTGATGTATACAAGGCATACGGCATGCTTTTTGAGTGCTTTACATTCCGTTTTGTCTACCCCGCCGCCCCCAACAGCAAAGAAAACAACCCCACCCCTCATATTCAGTGGCAGTCGCAGTCACATGCAGCTTTTAACCCACCGAGAAGCGTGTTCCTTGCCAAGAATTTCATCTGCATACATTGAGGCTCTCATCTACGGTACCTAGCTGGAGTGGTTGGGACCACTGAGGCTTCCTTCCCTATTCTGATATTATCATCAACGACAGAGACCATGGTCACCCCCATGACAGCGTTATTAGCGGACTCTGTGAGCAGTATCTTATTGGTACCGAATCTTGACTGAGCATCAAACTTAGGACTCTTCTTGTGGCTGTTGTAAGTGATATGAATGAGGTTCCTATGGATGGAAATCTTAGAATGAGTCTTCTCTTTCCCATCCGTAGCCGCTACGGTTTCCCGCACGTGCCCCACTTTGGTTCCGTGGTGGTGCCACACTGAACGACTTTTGCCGCTGAGTTAATTTTTGGTTCAACATCATCTCATCCAGCAGTGTAATTCAACAACTCGTACTCATCACCACTAGCACAACGAAAGCTCTGCATGGTGCTGAAATTTACGCAATGAACGAACTTTCGATTCAGCCCTCGGGCATCTTCTGGCAAGACGATTATATTACAGCCGAGCATGAGGAAAAGTTAGTACACATCTTTCGCAACGAGCTATCATGGCCAGACCGATCTGGGCGACTGTCTCTCCACTACGGCTACACCTTCGACTACAAAACATTCGGCGTGGATCCCAACGTTCCCTTCAGCCCTTTCCCGGACTGGCTGGAGCCGTTAATTCCTACACGCGAAGGCAGACCACCGGACCAAGTTTGCCTGCAACACTACCCACCCGGCGCCGGCATCCCGCCCCATGTCGATACTCATTCCGCATATGATCAGCTATATGCGCTATCTCTAGGATCGCCCGTCATGATGCAATTCGCCTTGCCACCAGACGATGGCGAGGAAGGAAGGATGGTGGAAGTAGATCTTACCCCGAGGAGCATGTTGCAGATGTCGGGAGACTCAAGACTGCATTGGAAGCACGGAATCAGGAAACGGAAGACGGACACGTTGCCTGATGGAACGGTGCGGAAGAGAGAAGATCGGTGGAGTATCACGTATCGGTGGATCAGGGAGCCGGCCATATGCGGCTGTGGGAACGCAAAACTCTGCGACACTGCGCAAAGAGAACTAGGCATTGAGAAGGAGTATCGTTGGAAGAAAGGCGACGAGAATATCGTAGCGGGCGAGGAAGAGAAGATAGATACCAAGGCTTCTTGAAATGATTGGAATGGTACTTACACGGAGTATTGATGAAACAGAAATAGAAAGAGGGGTTGTACATGTCTTCACTTGTTCATGAGTCGTACGCTAAAGACAGCAGATGATACCTAGTCTATTGCTTTTGAGCTAGGGAAGTTTGTAACCATACCCTCTACGCTAGTGAGCACTCTACCATGGTAGTGATCGTGCGAAATTGGAAGAACCGGCTGATTTTCAGACCTGCTTTTCGAAGAATCAACTCGAGCTCTGGCACCGATCTTTCCTTGCCGCCGAAGAAGAACAAAGTATTCCATGTCATCAAGTTGGCAAGGTCCGGAAGCCTTGACTGTTGATGAGGTGTCAGAGTAGACGGGGCCGTATTCTGATTACTGACAATGAACGGAGTCGAGTTCCATATCTCGTTAATCACCATCCGTGAGCCCAGAGTTCTTTTCATGGAGTTCGCAACGTTGGTAAGTATCTTGACAGCGTCTTCATCATCATACTCGCGCCTGAAATTAGTCAGTATGTCGT